TAGAGGTTGTTGCGCTTTTATTTAAAGGTTTTGTTAACATGAAATTCGTTAAATAAAATAGCCAAAAAAAAACCTAATCATCTCATAAATACTGCGAAAAAGTCAAAATAGTGAAAAATCTGGAAAAACGACCAAGATGTAATAAGGTATGTAACATAAGTTTTGAGACAAATTTCGTAACTAATTTTTATCACTTTGAAAAGATTCAATCTAGTTACCATTGCCTGGAATTTATTAAAGGAGGCAGGTCTGTTCCAACACGTGCGAAAACCGTAATATTACTGTACAAATCATGCGCTGTATATAATTTTTTGGGTAGAGCGCATGATTTGTACGGTAATATTACGGTTTTCGCGCATGTTTGAATAAATCTATTATCATAAATATTGACAGTTGTTGTCGAAAAATTTTTATGACATGGCGTACAAAATCGAAATACTAAAAAGCACCTACAATTCAGTTAGCCGAATGCAAAATGCTGATTTTGTAAATACGAGGGTATATCAAATATAAACGGGACTGATTAGATTAAAAATTCCTGAGCGGTTATTTATCTGGAAAGAATTAATGGGCAGTTAGCCTTTACCTCTGGAGAGAGGAGAAAATCGATTAGAATTCGCTAGCGTCTCTTTAGTATGCAAAGAAACCATAAGCGAGAAAGAAGTGCGTGTCTCCGTGGAGCAACGGATTAAAATAAAGTTTTTGGCAAAGAGGGAGTAAAATCAACCCAGTTTTGCGACGATTGCAGGCACAGTTCGGGGATAACACTCTGTTAGGGACTCGTGTGTTTGCATGACATCAATAATTTTCTGGAGGGCGTGAAAAGGTGCATCCGAGAAAGCAAAGACGCAAAGGTAAAGGCAACAGTGTTTTTGATCGGCTAGGTGTTTTTAACGTTGACTTTCTACACGATTAATGCACAATATTATTGTGAGTTACTGGATGCCGCAAAATTGTCATTTCGAAGAAAAAGGAAGAAGCAATCTGTCAGAAATGTGATTTTTTTGCATGACAACGCCAGATCTCATGTGGTTAATGTCACGAAAGAAAAATTGGAAACATTTGGATGAGAAATACTAGAATATCCTCTCTATACTCCAGACTTTTCCCCTTGCGACTTAAATATTTTTGGACCCCTCAAAGAAGCACTTGGAGGTCAGTGTTTCGACAATAACGAAGTGGTGAAAGCATTTATGATCCAATGGCTACAGGAACGTCCGAAGAGTTTCTACGATGCTGGAATAAAAAAGCTACTGATCCGATGGGGAAAAATGTTTTTTTGAGGGGGGAATGTATGTAGAAAAATAATGTATATATTAAAACTTATTTAAATAAAGTGTCATAGGGTCCTGTAGCGTCGATCCAATTCTTACCCGAGTTGCAGCTCCGCAACGATACTCTATGTGTATGGACACCATACAAGTACCCCAATTAACCGAATCCGTAAACACTCATTTTTGCAATCACACATATAGAGTCACTCTTATGTCGACACAAGTACTTGTGGTTTTACATCTGGCATTCTTACTCGAACGCCAGTAAAGTTATTTTAATTTTTAATATTAAATTTATACTAAATAGTCAATCACGAAGTAATCCTAAAGTTCGGAGACTAGTTACTCTTTCTCACGGGAACAAGTTCGAACATTCATATTTTCGTAATTCATTTATACCCGAATGAAATACCTACATACGCAGAAATATTTCAAACATCACAAATATCCAAATTAATTCGCGTGCCAAACTATGTCTTATTAATATTTCACACCCACGTACAACCCTTCTAGCTTTCTAAAAAGTACTTTATCTTTTAATCAAATTTCATTATTATCCATCCTAAAAAGACATAGTTTAAATTTCAAATATACAGCCGTTGCAAATTTCAAACGATTCCACAGAGCTTTAGCCAATTACGTAATTGTTTTACCTATGGGCGGAGCCTGGAATTAGAGACAAATATAAGCGTTTCCCCCAAAAATGGGCAGTAGATCTAACTTTTCTCGTGTATAGTTCTCTTGCCGCGAAAATAGTGAAAATTCGTTTTCTGTGCCGGTCCAGGGCATCAATTAGCCAAAAAGGATTACTTCAAGTTTTGAATAAGCTCCACAACTGTCTTGAGTCGATCTACATAAGGGTTTACTAAGAAAAGAGGATTCTAGCAAAGTGGTTGAGAAATAAGCCGGTATTTGCGCATTCTCCTCTACTTTCTTGCGATCCTCCTGCTTAGCTCCTCTCCGTGGGATAATTACACTGGGTGAGTCTGTTCTAATTACGTGGGAGACGAGGAGTACATCGTTTCCCATTTAAAAGTGATAGGGATGTCTCCATTCAATTTCCCTCCCGCTTGCCGGCATTTTTAGGCGCGGAACCTGTAACGGATATTCTTCTTTTCACAGGTCGGACTGACAGGTGTCAAGGGTCGTAGCCATTTATTTATAGTGTCATTTGTCAATAATATTGTTGGTTGGTAAGGACCTCCGGCTTTGTTTTCATTTCGAGCTTTTAACTTTCTCTGGCAAACGACCTTGACCTTGTTTGTTTATTTTACGCCTCGTTATAGTAAGGGAGCTCATTTCTTTTTATTTAATTAATTATTATAAAATATCCTGTCCTAGTGATTGTCGGTTACTTGCTAATCGACATTCACCTTCCCCTGTCGAACCCGCTTGACTGAGGGAGGCTTTTATTATTATTATTATTATTATATTTTTTTTATTTCTTTATTTATTTTTTTTAATAAAATTCATTAGTTTAGAACCTTTAACGTCACTTAGTTAACTAACTTAATATACTTTAAAATCATTTCAATTCAATTTAACTTACTACAAAAATGCATCACAATAATTCAGATAACTTCACCGCTGATATGAGAAGGGCATTTCCTTCAGGGCACGATACACGGGGAGAGTTCTATGGTTTTTCCCCGGTTACTCCCGCCCCAGAGCAAAATGCCACCTTGTGGAGACAGCCGAACTCGGCTATAAATTTAGATGATTTTTATAACTTTCCAATTAACGACACTACCCGACGGTTTGCCAACTCCCCGCCGTCTGGGCCCGAACCTACCCTGAGAGTACCCAATTCGTTTGTATTGGAACTCCAATCATCATATACCCCCATCGAGCGTCGGCCTACACACGGCAAATGTAGGTCAGGGGGAAGTTTCCCTGGTGAAGTGCTTCACAGTGTTGGTGATTTCGAGGAGTTCGCTACGCTCTTCGAATTATCCACCAGTACGGCCATATCTCCCTCACGACCCCTTCTTAGCGAAAGAGCGGGGTCAGGGCAAAACAACCTTCACCCGAGCGAGACCCGACGACAAAAGCTAAACATTTTTACAAAAGAAATCACGTTTATATTTGTTACACCCTCTTATATTTCAAGGACTTAATATTGCCAGTGCAACTATTTACCGTATAATAAAAGAATGTGAGGAATAAATACCTTGTTTGAACGGAGAATGATGGATTCTATACCGAGGATTTCAATGCAGCTTCGGATAATGTAAAATTTAAAAGAGAAGCTAAATTTGAAGATAACATTCTGGTGTGGTACGCCATTTCTTCAGCAGGTGCATCGTGAACATATTAGGACATGTTAGAGGAGAAGCAATCACTGCAGGTCTTTGTATAAAAAGATGTTTGCCTAAATTGTTACGATTTATAAACAACCAACACAATAATAATGAAATCATGTTTTGGCCTGATCTAGCTAGCACCTTGTCCATATGCCAGTCAAGCCAGATATTGGTTGGAAGCCAATAATGTCCCATTTATCCCAGAGAAAATAATCCACAACCGGAAAAATGCAGTTTAGAGTGAATCCACATTTTAACAAAAAAAAAAAGAAGTTTTTCGTAAGTAAACAAGCCTTCCAAACACAAAAATGAAAAAAATCCCGGCGGTCTCATGAAATTTGCCCCTCCCCCAAATTTTTTTTTTCTACATTTGTGAAATAAAACATCACTAATTAAAAAATTATGTGTTTATTCATCAGAAAATATAAAAATAAGGAAAAATCCGCCATCGGTCGAACAGGCATTTTTTAGACCCTCTGAAACACATTTCAAAATACTTTTTTGCCCTGGAAACGCTTAAACATATGTTCTTTTATATATCGCATTTTGATTAATTTCTTGTTATAGAATATGCTAAATAAAAAAAACTTAATTAATTTAACTAACCTATACGGCCTGGAGACATTGGGAGTTACCTCGTAAAAAAATTATACATAAAATAAGAAAAAAACCTAACTAATTTACCTAACCTTTGAGGCCAGGAGCCATCGCAATTTGTGTCTTCAAAAAATTGTACATGAAATAAGAAAAATTTAAAAAACCTGTAGGTTTTAGAGAGGTTTTAGAGCCATCGCAGGTTACTTCACAAAAAATATACAAAAACATAACCAATTTACCTAACCTGTGTGGCCTGCAGCCATCTCGGATTGTTTCGTAAAAAAGTATTCATAAAATAAAAATTTTAAAAAAACTTAATTAATTTACCCAACCTATACAGCCTGGAGACATCGGAGTTACTCTTGTTTATGTGTCCATTACATCTTCAACAAATACCATCTACCGATTTAGCACATGGCGTCATTACAAAATAGCCATTAAATTTATCCACTGAACATTTGTTTTTATTATTTTGCGGTATTACACCAAAACGCAGCACTTGCAATACAGGGTGTTCCAATGAAAAGTAGCCCATTTCCAGAGCTTATAAGCTCGTAGAAACGTGCGATTTTTTGCTGACATGTCTTATTTTGCTATAAGTTTTGCAGTTAATACAAATTATGTATTACCTATACAGGGTGTTTTTTAAAAATCTCTTAAATTCACCGTAACCAAATTTTATCAAATGGAAACGGGCTACTTTTCATTAGGACACCCTGTATAATAGTATCACCTCAAACATTATTTGGTTGAAGGATATGTCAACTCTCTGGGCACACTTTACCAAAATATAAGAAAATACTGAGCCATGTTTCTTTGTCTTTAGGATATTAGCAATGTACGGCATATATTTCTTACTGATATACGACATGCTGCACGGAAACATGTTCGAACAAATGGAGGGCATTTGGTTAGACGACATGCCGAACGTGGATAAAATCTATCACATCTGTTTGGAAGTCTACCTCGTGCGCGACATGAAATGTTGGGAAATGGAAGAACTTCTTTTCGCCAAGTTAGTTTTCATCTTCAGATCCAGAGAACTTTGCATAAAATTGACTAGAGACGAAGGGGATCCGTACAATCCCACGTTTATTTATCCTGGTAGAAATAGGGAGATTACTGAGGAACCTGCTAATACAGACGTTCCTGCTCTAGATGCAGGACCTGCTGATGAGACAGGTCCTGCCGATGAACCGGGACCTGCCGATGAGCCTCGACCTTCTGATGATGCAGGAAGTGCTGATAATCCTGGCCATGACTGATCACTCAGTTTTTATTTTTAGGTAAAATAGAGTAGAACAAAAATTGGAAATAATGACAATAGTGTTGAGGAGGAAGTTATTTTTAGTAAATTTATAGCCTAATTGTTTCAAATAGTTGAACGTACTTTTATATTTTGGCCAAAGAAGTAATTCTTTCCCACAATGGTCATTATTCCACATTTTTGCAATACTTCCTATCTTTAATACCAAATATTTTTATTAGTGATTATTCAATTTTATTTAAACTATAGGTATTTATTATTAAAATGTATAAAATACGATAATTAAATGATAAAACGTATGTTTTTTTCCCATATTAAGAGTTAAGATGAGATAAAAATATATTCTCATCTTATTTGTTATCTCGTGTAAAATATGAAATGTATGTCAATTCCGGGATTAAGTGACCCAGTTTGTTGATGTAATCAAAATTTATTTTAAATTTTGTCTCTCGAAAACAGATAAGAATAATTATTAATATCTCTTTCAGTCCAGCATAATTTAACCACATTACCTACAAAGTTGTTTATAATTAAAGCGCATTACTAATAATAATTATAAGTAGATAAAGTATAGTATTCAACTTGCGTAGGTATAATGGCTATTATTACGTGGGATGCATTATTTCATTATACCTACTTTCAGGTTAATTATTTTTTGATCCTCACCCAATTTTAGAACCAATCTGTGGTTAAAAGTGATAAATATATAGGGTGATTCACAAGGAATGCGTAATATTTTACCAGTAGATTGTACAGCGGAAATTATTAATTTTTCGCTGAGTAACTGGGAGTCAAATAAGGTGACGGATTTTGTTAAACCAAAATATAGCTTATACGTATAGCGCCCTCTATATTGGATCCACTAAAAATTATAGCTTACCAGTCGATTTTCTCCCGTCAAAAACCTAATTGTACCGTATTTTATGTTTAGGTGTTAAAAAAAATAACTGAAATATAACATAACACTCTCTGTATCTAAGTAAATATTAGTATTTTCCACTATAGAATCTGCAGGTAAAATATTGTCCATTCCTTATGAATCACCCTATTATCTATCTATCTGAATTAGGGCGTGGTTCAAAGTCCACTTGTACTGAAGCTCTAGGTTTATTGTACCCCTCACAGTTTCTATCCCATCAGATTGATTTTCTTGATGAATTCAAGAATATGTCTGATGGGCGCTTTCGCGATTTCTTCGGGTTCCGGATATTGTACCCCGAAGTACCATTCCCGTTCCCATTTAAGGTTCCGACAGTGGCATAGTATGTGAATAGGAGTTTCGTCCTCCTCTTCACATATTCTACATAGGGGGTCATCAGAAATCCCTAAGAGATTTAGGTGTCTTCTAAGGCCGCAGTGTCCCGTAAGGAGTCCTATTACGGCCTTGAGTTCGCTTCTGCTAAGGTTTAGCAGTTGATGTTGTCTGCTCGTGGATGGCCCCTCTATGAATCTTTTGGATTGTCTAAGTCCAGGAAGTTCCATTCAGAGCCTATGGTGTTCTCTATTTATTTGTTCCTTTAACGCCCATTTAACTTGTTGGTATGAGATACCACATGTCGGTTCTGGTCCAATAAGAGTTTTTTTCCGCTTCCTTCCTTACTAGGAGGTCTGCTTTCTCGTTTCCAAACACTCCCTCATGTCCTGGCACCCATTCAAGAGTGACCTTGTTATGTTCTGCCAGGGCCTGGAGGGACTGTTGGCAATCAAATATTGATTTAGATTGTACTTCTACCCTTTTCATGACTGTCTGTCATGATAAAGATCCTCTTATCTCTAAGAGAGTCATTTAGCATGACTTTGGCGCATGCATTTATTGCTGTTACTTCAGCATGGAAGACTATTGTCAGTGACCTCAGGTTCAAACTAATTGTCCTCCCTGAGTTCACATGGTAGATCCCAGCTCCTGTGCTGTTTTTCATTTTCGAACCGTCTGTCCCAGATAGCACAAAGTCGTCTTAAAGACGTCTTTAAGACGTCTAGCATAAGACATTCGAGACGTCTTTAAGACGTCTGGTATTTCCTGAAAGACGTCTTTAAGACGTCTTAGAAGACGTCTGATGTTACAAAAAGCGACGTCTTTAAGACGTCTTATTAATGGCTTATATTGGTCTGTAGAGCTTAAAATAAGCCATAAATAAGACGTCTTTAAGACGACTTATTAATAGCTTATAATGGTCTTGTAAAGCCTTAAATAAGCCATAAATAAGATGTCTTTAAGACGTCTTATTAATGGCTTATAATGGTCTATAAATAAGACGTCTTTAAGACGACTAATTAATAGCTTATAATGGTCTTGTGAAGCCTTAAATAAGATGTCTTATGAACGTAGGACGTCGGATATCTTGGTTATTAAAAAGTAGAACAACCTTGCAGATTATAAATAATGCAAAAATAGAATTAAAATATTTATTGATAAAACATCTATTAATCACAGGTCACTGAGTTATTTTCTTTGTAGCGCATTCAATCACTTCTCTTTAGCCATAACTGGATTGATTTTTCTCTTTGATTTGTAGTTGCCTTTGTATAGCTCCTAAAAAGAAATTTAGTTAAGAGCATCTAGTCACAGAAAATTATACTTTGCAAAAGATAGTAAAAACCGACAGAAGTTATCTATAAAACAAAACAAAAAATTAATTTCTTAGAATTTTAAATCAAACAATTGTTATAATCATTTAATGCAATATGAGCTATTATGCTTAATCGCCTACTTTAACAATTTTACTTTAACTTCACTCAAAATGGCTATCTAATAGGGAGTTTTTGATATTATTAGTTCACAAAATCTTCATAAAAACAAAAAAAAATGATACTTGACGAATATCTGAATTACATCTTTTATTAAGATGTTTACTTTTAAATTAATTTAATTATTCTTAGAAGAAACAGGATATTAATGTTCTATGTATATAAACAAATATTCATTTATTACCTGTATTCCAGGAACGTGCTACATCGGTAACACAAACCATTCTTCCCTCTCTGGTTTTTGTCGAATATTATTTAAGTAGAAAGAGACAAATGCTCAAAATAGCCCAAAGTCGCTTTTAGTGACTTGGGCCATATACATTTTTGGCTTGGGCTTGAATGTATTTCTTCTTTTCTTCGTTTTATATGGGCTCAATCTTTTCACATTTTCACTGCACTTGATATTTGATTTTGTCTTCTCCAAATATTACACTAAATATTTTGTTAAATTTTATATAATTTTTAAATTCGGATGGTCACTTTTATACTAGATATTTTGTGATTTTTATGAGATTTCTTGGCTCCCGATTCGGAGAACGCCATTTCAATATTGCCACGATGGTGTCCGAATCGGAAGTCCGACTTGAATATAATGTTAAATCAAACGTCAAACTTCACTTCATTTGATTCTTCTTGTTAAATTTGAATTATGTAAACCGTGCAAGTTTCCGTCCGACTGAAAGACGTCTTAAAGACGTCTTTGAGCTTTCACATTAATATATGGATTTGGCAAGACGTCTTAAGAACGTCTTTGAGCTCTCACATTAATACGTCTGAATTATGACTTTTGTAAGACGTCTTATAAGACGTCTTAATAACGTCCTAGGACATTCAGACCAAACCAAGACACAAAAAAGACGTCTTTTAGACGTCGTGTGCTATCTGGGGTATACCAGATTGATTCGTTTTGTTTTTCCCTATTTTCCCGGCTTTTGGCTCTTTCTGGTATTTGAATATCGAAAGGTTTCCTGAAATCGTGAATAATAGGCGTCCTATCCGATGTCATTTTTAATACCGGATTTTGTTTTAATTTCTCTAATATCATTGTGTGGTGTCCTTTTCTCGAAAGTTCCATTCCAAATCCATTAGTAAACAGTCTGTATGCCGCCGCCATAGCCTCCTTCTCCACCACAAGATGTAGTGGAGGAAGACCTAGCAGTAGCTCCATTGCTGCTGTGGGCGTAGTTCTAAATAATAATAATAATATAACTTTATTCAATAATAAATTACATATATGAATCATATCTATATATACAATAAAAAAATATGATTCTTCCTAAAAAAGAAGTACCATAAAAATATAATATGATATAATAAAAATAACAAAAATAACAAATATTAAATAAAGTGGTGCGAAGCGATAAGTATTAAATACTTGTATCGCTTTATAAAACAATTTAGGTAATAATAACAATAACAATACCAATACAGCTCATATAATTATTGTTTTATAATAAAAAAAAAAAATGAATGCATGAACAGAGGAAGCCACACTGAGTACCGGACATCCAGAAAATGAGAAGCTAAGGATAAAAATGACAGCTTCTCAGGCACTGTATGTCAGGTAGGTAACCAATAAGCTTGCCTCGTCATCTATGATTTTTTTCTTTTCATTTTACATGACAAAAAGAAAGGAAGAGAGAAAAAAACAATTAAAAATGTTATAACCCAAAAAATATTTCCACACCTTTTAGCTGAACAATACATTTCAAAAGCAAGTGATAGTTTTAGGGTAAGTATATGAATATTCAATTTTATTATAGAATTTTAGTTTGTTTCATCTTAATTTGTTTTTTTTTTTATTTTAATTGCTACCGATTATATCTATAGTTAAAATCCATTTCGCAATAATAGTTTTAAAGTTTTTATAATAAATTTTTGACTTTAGTTCTTTAGGCAGTGAATTATAAACTTTTAATCCGACGTATGAATAACTGCGTTGCGAGAGGGTTGTTCTACATTTCGGTATGATAATCTTATTGTTTAGATGAAATCTTGTGTTATATTGGCGGCACATAGTATTTATTTCCTTTGTATTTACAAGTTGAATCAAAGCTTGTTTATAATACAATTTTCTTATAGTTAATAAGTTACTGTAAGTGAAAAGGGCTTCAGTGGGAAATCGTAGATTTAATTTAAATATTAGTTTAATCAGACGTTTTTGAATTACCACTAAAGGTTGCAAAGTAGTAGTGTAAGCTCCTCCCCATCCAATTATCCCGTAATTTAATATAGATTGAACTAGGGCGTAGTAAAGTGAAATAAGATCACGCTCACTAAGTATTTTTGAGGTTAACTTAAACATATATAATAGTGATCTCATTCTTTTCACCAGATTATTAATATGTATATTCCATTTTAGATTTGAGTCTATGGTTACTCCTAAATGCCCCTGTTATTATTAGACAGGCTAGTCTTTGCACCTTGTCTAATTTTCTGTTAGCTGTTATGCTTTTAGTCTTTTGCCACCAATTAGGGTGGCGCAAAAAAACCGACTATTTTTTTTTGAGTCTCGAGTGAAAAAATGTTAGTTTTTGATGT